GTCTTGTTTGATTTCTTTTTCCAACGGCTTGGAATCTTAATTGTCAGTGTCTTTCTCCTTTATCTATAGGACAGTTTCTAACTCACCCTTGTTGGAATGGCGATCATCATCAAGACAGTAAATGAATAATTCATGAGTACTGATGGAGATGCAGGGGAGAGAAAGCATTTACACAGTGCTAGAGGGAATGAAATTAGTCCAGCCGCCATAGATGTCTGAATGGTAGTGCCGCAAAATGTAACTATAGAGATTGTTGAAGTCACCACAAGATTGATTGGTAGAGCCTAGAGAAATCAAGTTGGGACTGAGCTGGAAGCTTTATCCCTATTTGCTTAGCTTTCATGGTGCCAGATGCGTCTATGAATGCTACCACAAGAGTTGTTAGAAGCCATTTTGTTCAACTACGTACTCTGCATTGTACACTACAGTGCGGCAAGGTGGGGTGTATCCACTGGTACAACAGTAGCAAGCATGTTATGGAAATAACCAGCTGCTTTCTGTTTTGATCTCCTTCATATCATGGAATCCACATCTGATACTTCAAACCAAATCAAAAGCCCAGGACAGTGTGACCTCCTTTCAGGGAGAGAGAAATGGGTAGAGAGAAAAATGGAAATTCAAAGCTGAATAATCTCCCTGCATAATGTCATACTAATAGCTATTCTCCCAATGTAGATAGGCCCCTTACTATGCACTTTTTCTTGTGCTAACTCCTTCTCATAGAATCCATTTCAATATTACTGCTTTTGCTTGCCCTGTTCAACAGTTGTGGAAACCAGGGCACAAAAAGAGCTAATAATCTTGCTGAGGAGTATAAATCATGTATACACATGTCTATATTATCTATGCTAGGTGTGTGTGCAAGCAATTGGTTAATGGCTGGCCCCATACAAATTTATATGTATATTCCTCTGTATATTTCTTCATGTCCCATTCATGTAGGTGTGATCTTAGGTATGTGTGTAAATAGTGTGCATGTTCTTGATATATACGGATGTTAGATGATTAGATTCTCAAGCCCTAAATTTCTTTCTTACATGCCATTTCCTCTTTAAATGACTGTTTTGTCCTGCACAAGTACTCACCATCATTAACCATGATTAGCTTCAAGATCAGATAATAATGTGTACATGCAGGGTGGTATCAGTGAAGATCAAACATCTGTCTTTCTGAGCCTGGTCCATCCCCTATTAGATGCAGTGCAACAATTATAGTTATGCCTATTTTAAGGTATTTGAAAATGTTCAGTCTACTAACCTAAACAAAGTGTCAGATAATAAAATTAAAGTAATAGAATGACTATGTGACCAACTTATACCATCCCTGGGCATCTATCCTAAAAAGTCTAAATCATCATGTCACAGAGGTAATTTTACATCCATGTTTATTGCACCACCAGTCACAACCATAAAGTTATTTATGTGTATTTATAAATAGATAAATGGATAAACAAAATCTGATGTATATACACAATGGAGATTGATTGAGCCCCAATAAAAAATAAAGTTATGTCATTTGCAAGGAGGTGGATGCAAAATGGAGACATAATATTATTAAGTGAATTAAATCAGACTGAGAAAGAAAAATATCGCATGTTTTCTCTCATTTGTGGATCCTCGGTGTTGTACCAGCCTAAAAACATGAGAGTGGGGCAACATAGGGAAAGTAGTGTGATCACCAGAAAAAGAAAAGTAGGTGGGGGAGTAATGTAGATTGTTCAAAACAGTGCAAGTATGATACTTAAGTGAAATTGTCTTTGTGAAACCCTTACTGTAGGGTAAGTTAATATATATACTAATGAAAACTTGTAAAACATTCTTAAAGTTGTGAAATTTACCCTATATGTAATTACACTTAGATTTCAATTAAAAATAATCAATTTTAAAAAGTAAGCAGTTATATTCAAAAGTTACTTCCATATACTATTTTAATAATATAAATTATAATGATTTTTTGCTTTCTTGTTAATATTTTTCTGAATAGTTTTGGAGTTTTCAGGTGTTTGTGAGCTTAATTTTGTTTGTTATCTCTCACTGCCAAGCTTTGTTTTATTGAGCACTGGGGGATCAAATCCCCAGGCCTTTGTGCATGCCAGGCAAGCATCCCACTACCTAAACTAAACACCTAGCAGTCCTGGATTTTGTTATTCTATTTTGAACCCACTTCTATGAGAAATTTGTCTGTGGGAATCTGAAGTTCAAGTTTTTGGTGTGTTTTGCCAGCAAGGGATTAGTTGGGCATATTAACAATATCTAAAGACACCACCAGTCCTGGAATTTTTTTTTTCAGCAAGGTCTCACTATATAGTCCAGGCTGGCCTCAAACTCTAAGTGATCTTATTGACTTAGCCTCCCAGACATTGAATTTACACGCATTTGCCATGACACTCTAGTTAGACATCATCAAACTAAATTTTCAGCTTTTGAAATTTGATGCAATGCCGTCACAAAATCTAATTCCAATGCGCACATTTGCAAGGCTGTTCCTAAAACCTCTCAGAGCGACAAATCCTTACACTCTCCATTCCACTTAACGCCATGGTTCAGAAGTAAATGTCCCTACTTCAACCCTTCTCTGAATGCATATTCTTTTCTCATTTGTTCATTGTAATACTGCCTTCTGGGGGCTCTTGTTCACTGATAGCATCAAGTCTTACTTCTGGTTTTGAAGGGGCACAGACAGGTGGCTCATCCTATATGTGTGAGTGTTCCTTTTAAAATGAACACTTGCAAAAAAAATTTTAAAAATGGACACTTGCTCAAAGATTAACATTTTCCCCAGCAGTCCACTTTTTCAGTACATTGTCTTCCTCTTTCAAAATCTGTACTATCCTTTCACTTCATGGAGAGGGCATTAGTATACATACGGGGGAGAGACAGTAAAACAAGTAGTACACGTATCATATTTCTGATTGCTTGTTCATTGGTAGTTGCTTAAATCTGCAAAAAAGGGATCTCATCACAATCTTTTGCCACATTCTTTTAAAATACATTTTAATAAAAATATAATTGCTTAATTCCATCACTTCCTCCTTTTCAATCCCTCCCTCTAGTACCTAACATATTCCCTCTCACTCTCAAATTGGTAGAGTCTTTTATTTCATTATTATTGCTACACACATACATATATGTATGAACAAATATATTAATGCAATCCACTGAGCCCATTTTTATTGTCTGTGTGTGTGGTCTCAGGGCTGAAGCCATATCCTTAAAAACAAAAATTCCTCAGGCTATCCTTAACTTCCTTTCAGTGTTTTTGTTGTTTTGTTAAACACATTCAAATCTGCTTGTCCTAATAGAAGGTCTGCATTTATTAATAGTTCATCTACTTCCAAGAGTTTAATGTTGTCAAAGTCAAATTCGTGTAAATAGATAATTCATATTAATGGCACAGTTTCTGTGTAGCCTTGCAAGACACATATGATCTTTACAAGTTTTCTTCTCAAACAAAATCCAGTTTGTCTGTTTAGCGTGGTTACATGTGCTTTTCAATTCATATTGAATAATCTTTGTCAAATTCTATTTCTGGAACATTTACTACTAGATTTTCTCTGAAGTTTTATCTCTACACTTCTTCTCTGGGGGTTGTTAGCCACTGTTAATTTAAGGTTTTCACAGTATGTGAAGGAGGGGGTCCATTCTTTTCCATGTGGGTATCCAGTTATTCCAGATAGCATTTTAAGAATATTCTTTGCACCCTAGTGACACTCACATACAGTGTGCTTATACCTGATTGTGTTTCACTGTGAGCATCAGCAATCTATAACCAATACAAAGAGGAGTCTTTCTTTTCTCTAAACATCCATTTACTTATTAAACTGGAGATATGGCTGGGTGACACATAAATAAAACCCCCAGAATTCACAAATTCAAGTCTATCCCAAGATACATAGAAAAACCCAGTCTCAAATGCACACAAACTCACACATGTGATGATGATGATGCAAATAGTATCTGTATTAAAGGCAGATTTTTGAAAGATGAGTTGAGAAGATGAATAGGAAGTGTTTAAAATAGTATACATTCAATAAATGTCACTTTTAATTTTAGAATCATCTTTCTATTTGCTTGGGGTTTCCTGCCTCCTTGTTAGAATTCAAGCCCCATGGACCAAGAAGACATTATGGGTCTATGAACCAGCATCTCACCTCATAGACCAGAAGGGAGCATCTTGAATCATTGAAGAAATACTTATTGAGTGAATAAAGGAATGGATGTTATCAAACAGAAATGTGGTAAATGAAGGGACTGGTCAAAATCCATCAGCATAATCTTCATGCGTGAAAGCCATAGAACTCAGTATACAAATCATCGCAGCTGCTCTGTGGGGTATTTGTGAAACCTCTCAATTCTACAGTGAGCTTACATTTTATTCAGTTCAATCTCCTAGTCAGTGGTTACCTTCATTTGTTCCTCTTACAAATTTTATATATTTTAACTGTAAGCAGTGTAAATTTCTGATATTGTTTTGTCTTTTCTTTCTGCATGACTTTTGAATTCTTCCCAGTTTCTGAAGTTCTTTCACTGTATAAACCAGGTCTCCAGCCCCTGCATTCAAGTGATCTCAGCCTCCCAAGGAGTTGGAACTTCAGGTTTGTGGCACCAAGCCTAGTTGACAATAGTGGTTTCATAATAAAGAGGAGACAGGGTGGTACTGTTTTCTGTTGTCTGGCCAGAGTGTCTGATGTTCCACATTTGATTGTTAAATGCAAATAGTCTCAAAGGAACAAGCAAATTCCATGATACAGAAACTTTCATTTGCTTATTAACAAACTGGGAGCAGACATTAGTCTGCATACATTCCATAGTCAAGATAAGTCTTTGAGAACAGATAGTTCTGATTCTATCACATGACAACAGGCTTGAAAAACTTGTTTCTAAGTAAATAAAGAATATAACATAGCTCCTCTGTCAAACGGCATATAGATAGACAGACAGATAGACAGAGATATGGATATAGATAATCTACAATAGACGCAATCTTAGGGATCTACAGAGATGCTGAGTGCAGAAGAAGGCATCCTCCTTTTTGTTGCCACTAGTGAGGCAGTGCTGGGAGTTTTGGTGAACGCATTCATTGCACTTGTGAACTGCATGGACTGTGTCAGGAGCAAGAAGCTCTCTAAGATTGGCTTCATTCTCATTGGCTTGGCGATTTCCAGAATTGGTGTCATATGGATAATAATTTTACAGGGGTATGTACAATTGTTTGTCCCACATATGTTAACTTCTGGAAACCTAACTGAAAATATTACTTACCTTTGGGTAGTTATCAGTCACTTAAGTGTCTGGTTTGCCACCAACCTGAACATCCTCTACTTTCTAAAGATAGCTAATTTTTCCCACTCTCTATTTCTCTGCCTGAAGAGGAGGATCCGTTCAGTTTTTATCTTTCTATTGGGATGCTTGCTTACATCATGGCTACTGTCTTTTCCACAAATGATAAAGATAGTTCATGAGAGAAAAATGTACCAAGGGAACACATCTTGGTTTGACCAAAGGAAAAATTACTTTCTAATTACCCAAAGTTTAACCAATCTGGGAATCTTTTTCTTCTCTGTGGTAGCCCTGATTACCTGCTTCCTGATAATCATTTTCCTCTGGAGACACATCAGGCAAATGCAGTTGAATGTCTCAGGATTCAGAGACCTCAACACAGAAGTTCATGTGAAAGCCATGAAAGTTCTAATATCTTTTATGGTCCTCTTTATCTTGCATGTTATAGGCATTGCCATAGAAATAACATGCTTTACTCTGCCACAAAACCAACTGCTCTTTATAACCGGTTTGACAGCCACATGCCTCTATCCCTGTGGTCACTCAATCATCCTAATTCTAGGAAACAGCCAGCTGATGCAAGCCTTTTTGAAGATGCTGCAGCACATAAAATGCTGAGAGACAGAAAGAAATCTCGGTCATGTAAATGAGCTTTCAGAGAAATAGACACTATGCTCTTTCGTCAGTTTTTAACAGGTAGCGAATGTTATTAAAACCTCCTGAAATGGTTGATGACATCTCAAAGAACCTAACTTTCTGGTGGCATTTTAAGTTCACATGAAGCCTCAATTCACTTTGCTACTTGACTATGCAAATTCTTCCCCCAAACTAACCAGATAGTGATTGGTCTGGAGACAAGTCCATGTGGAGACTTTTGTGGTGAGAATAACCCTAAAAAGCAATTCATTTCATTGTTACTCACTGAAATTCCCAGGCTGAGTCAAAGAAAAGGAAAACAAGACAGAGGACTATGATCAGTCTTCCCGTCGGCAAAGAACTGGGGACCAGAAGTTGATGCTTCTTGTGTGTGAGGCTATTCTTTTTTTCAAACAGATGCTGTTGTCTTTGTTATGCAAGTCCTAATGTACTTTACTAATGGTATATATTTTATATAATAAAATTAGCCATAGTATTGGATATAATTCTGTCAAAAGCAGCTAGGGAAATGGAGTCCATCCAAGGGAGGACAGTGACTGAGTCTATAAATCCAGCAAATTCACCTGAGGTGAAGCAAAGCCAAAGGCCATTGAGAGTTGGGTGAATATTATGCAAGAATCATGTACCCAAAAGTGTTGATATGGTCAGTGACAAAGGAATAAAAATACTGCACTGGGGTAGAATCTGTGTAAAGTCTGAAATTTCTGTTTTGTATGTTCTGGGGCTAATGGGAATCATTTTTTCTATCATTAACTTACCAGTCTTTAATAAATGTTGATTTGATTTTGAAAGTGGTTGTTAATATTTCTTTTATTTCTGAAATTACAATATAGTTACATAATTTCCCTCTTCCCTTCCCTTTCTCAACACTCTCATACATCCTTCTTTGCTCTTTCAAACCCATGGCCTCTTTTTTCACTAATTGTTAGTTGCATACATATATGTGTAACTATGTATTCCTGAATGTGTAGATACCACCTGCTTGGTCTATAGGATGTTACTTGTATGTGTTTCATGAGAGCATCCTTTTAATCTGTAGGATGTTACGATTGGGTAGTCAATTGATGTGCTCCTCTCTGGGGCAGACTATTTTCCCCACCTCAGTATTTCTTATTTATCTATAGTTCTTTGTGTAGAGTTGATGCTTTGTGGGTTTTTTCCCCATCCACTTTAGGGTGCCATCACTTAAGTGAAGAGACAACTCATAGAGTGGGGGAAAATATTTGGCAAGTACACATCAGACAAAGATTGAATACACAAACTACATAAAGAGCCACAAAAGTTGAACACACAAATTTGGATCAACCAATAAATTCACAAATGAAGTAAATGGACAGCACTTTTATTAAAAGAAGAAATATAGGGCTGAAGACATGAGCGAAACTCTGGGTTCAGTTTCTGGCACCTCTTAAGCCAAATGTAGTGTCACGTGCCTTTAATTCCCACACCTGGGAAGTGGATGCTGGAAAACCCAAAATTCAAGCCCATTCATGACTACATAGCAAGTTTCAGAACAGCCTAGAATACATGAGACACTGTCCAAAAGAAAAATGATACAAAAGAAGAAACATAAGTTATGAGTAAACATTTCTAAAAGCATTCAATAACATTATCTCAGAAATGCAAATAAAAACTGCTCCGGGATACCATGTCATGCAGTGAGAGTGGCTATCAAGAAAAAAATGGCAAAAAATAAAAATAAATTGTTATACAACAATCCATAATTAAGCATCGATGACATATTTTTATCTTGCATCCCAATTTCCTGACTTCTGTTTCTATTACAATTTCACTGGTCATTTTATTCCTCTTAAAGTTATTGAAAATTTAAAAAAACAGAAATCAAAACTAAGAAATGGGTGTTAGATTTACAATGTACTATTATAGGGAAGGTGGAATGTGCTTGATTGATAGCAAAGGAGACAGTGGAGCTAAAATACTCAGGTATTTTCTGTGCAAATCTCCTATGTTGTTAATGTTATCTTGCAATCTTCCCTAAATTTTAATGAAGAAAATAAATCAAAGTAAATTCATCTGAAAAAACAAAAAGGAAAGAAATGGCAACACGATGCAAGGATGAAGGAAAGGGGCCACAGTGAGAACTAAACCAGTGCATCCCTTATGGAATCCAGTAAGATCCTTCTAAGATTGAGAGCAGAACAATCAAACAACACAGCGCGACCATTATTGGGTATTTAGACTGGAGGACTCTAAGTCAGGAGACAAAGAGATACTTTCACATCTATGTTTATTTTTGTGCTATTCACAGCAGCTAGGTAATGGATCTAACCTAAGCATCTGTTGAGATCTGAATGCATAAAGAAGATATGGTACATAGACACAATGGAAGTTTATTCACCACTGAAGAATAAGGAGATCATGGCATGTTCTGGAAAATGAATGCAGCAGATCACTACAGTAAATGAAACACACCAGCCTGAGAAAAACAAATACTATGTGTTTTCTCTCACATGCTGTATAGAGTTAAGGTGTGTGTGTCTGTGTGTGTGTGTGTGTGTGTGTGTGTGTGTGTGTGTGTGTGTGTGTAGAAAAGGGACTTGGAGAGGAAGTATGAAGGCAGAAAAGAAGGAAGGAAAGAGAAAGAAAGGGAAAGGAGGAGGAAGAGAGAGAGAAAGAATTTTAACTGAAAGCAAAATAATGGATATTATGATACTAAGAATGGGACCAGGAAGAGAGAAGCATGGGAGATGGAGGAGACAGAGGTGGGGAGGTCCTCAAATGAACAAAGAAATATATATATATATATATATATATAATAGATAGATACATAGATACATAGATAGAAAGAAAGATATATAGATAGATATAAATAGATATATGATAAATAGATACATACATATATACATCAGCAGCTAATATTTGACTGTCAACTTTACAGGATCTAAAATCACCATATCTTTAATTCCAGCATTAGAGAGGCTGAGGCAGGCAAATCTCTGAGCCTCATCTACAGAGCAAGTTCCAGGATAGCCATGTTACCCAGAGAAATCCTGTCTCAAAAAAAATCTAAAAACAAACAAATAAAATCACCAAATAGATGGGCATCTGGACATAGTCATGAGGGATTAAACAGCAGAAGTTGAAGTAGGGAAACCCACTCCAATGTGGGCAAATTGTGTCATGAACTGTGGTTCCAGTCTGCATAAAAAGGAGAAAGCTAGCTAAATATGAGCATTCATTTCTCACTCCCACCTACTCTGGATGTAATGTGACTAGCTGCCTCAAATTCCTGATGCCAGTACTGCCTCACCGTGATGGACTGCATCTCAAACTTTCATCCAGAATAAACCTTTTCTTCCTTAAGCTGCATTTGTTGAATATTTTTATAGTCAAGAGGAAAATAATTTAAATAGAAAGAAATAAAGAAAAAAGAAAGAAGGAAGGGAGGGTGGGAAAGAAGGGAGAGGATAGATAATTGATGATAGATAGATAGATAGATAGATAGATAGATAGATAGATAGATAGATGACAGACAGATGATAGGTAGATAGATGATAGACAGAGAGACAATACGTGGATAGATGAAAAGTAGATAGACACATAGATAGTGTGCTGGATAGTTTTATATCAATTTGATACAAACTAAAGTCATCTGAGAAGAGGGAACCTCAACTAAGAAAATGCCTCCATAAGATTTTATTGTAGGCAAGTCTATAGGGCATTTTCTTAGTGATTGACGGGGGAGGTCCCAGCCCATTGTGGGTGGTGCCATCTCCGGGCTGGTGGTCCTGAGTTTATAAGAAAGCAGGCTGAGAAAGCCATGAGGAGCAAGCCAGTAAGCAGCACCCGTCCATGGCCTATGCATGAGCTCTTTCATCCAAGTTCCTGCCCTCACAGCTTTTGATAGTGAGATGTTATAAAGAACTGGGGATGAAATAAACCCTTCCACCCCAAGTTGCCTTTGGTCATAGTGTTTCATTGCAGCAACAGAAACATTAACTAGGACACACAGGAGACAGACAAAACAGACTTAAAGATATGCAGAGTGTATGAGGTCCTTGTGCACACAGATAAGCACAAGGGAAATGAGAAAAGCTAAACAAATATGCTTATTTCTTCTAAGGAAGAAGATGTTTATCAGTTTCCCACACAGAAGGGAGTCAGTATTGGCCCAGGCCTACGATAACACAGATGTTACATAAGCTGTTGTAAAGTACAAATTACTTTGTTCATAAGGATGAGTTTTATGGGCTGAAAACAATGCTCAAGATCTATGGGGGAAAAAATCTGGGACAAAAAAAAAACATAATAATATGGAGAATTTGGGTGAAGACTGGGTTTACAGATATCAAATGATTACCAGGTTGCAAACTGCATCCATCCATCCATCCATTATATGATGTATTTGTCCAGGAAAGGCCCATTGTCTGGTAGTATTCCTCAGTCTTGTTGTTTCAACTGGACTGCTTGACCCATGCGCCCCTGAGGACCTATCTGTCTCATCCTCAAATGCTGGGTCTACAGACACATGCCTTTGCATCTGGCCTTTGCCTGGGTGCTAGGAATCTGAAGTCATATCATCATGTTTACACAGCAAGCATTTTAGTCATTGAGAAGTCTTCCCAGGCATCATCAGTTTATTTTTACATTCTAGGATAGAAAGAATTTCTTCAGACGTCTAATTTAGAGTATCCCTTTTTTATTTAAAGGGTTGAAACTTTCATACATTAACCCTGTATTAACATCATTTCTACCCCTCCCTTTCCCTTCTCCAACTCTTCCCATGCCCTTCACTCCTCCTCTCAAATTCATAACCACTTCCTATTAAATATTGTCGTATATATGTATGTGTGTATATGTGCATACATATGCATACGTATGTACAGTCTACTGAGTCCATTTAGTGTTGCTTATATGATGTATTTGTCTAAAGAACTGACTGCTTGGGATTAGATAATACATCAGGGGTTCATCCCTGGAAAAGATTCTCTCACTCTTTT